TATTTTCTCATTGATCTTTTACTATTATACATTAAAACCATACAGGTGCCTATTGCTATCGGAGGTCCTGGATTGGCACCCGGGGTTAGATTCCGGAAGGATGTTCCTGATGGGGGGCTGGCCAACGTAGCTGCAACCGTGATGAATCTGCATGGATTTTTGGCTCCGAGTGACTACAAGACAACTCTCATTGAAGTAGTTGATAACTAGAATTAACTAACTGAGAGCAGTAATTTTTGTTTGACTATCGCCCGGTTTGAATTGTGGTGATTTCGGAAAGAGACTCCGGACTGGATTAGAGTTAATATTATCCTATGAATAAGTTGTATTTTTGTGACAAATCATATTTTTGTCCGTCGGAGGCGGACGAAACACTGTATTTAAATTTCATCAAGATTACCAAAAGTTTTATGACAAATCATACGAGTACTTACCAGACTTGTTTGTTTTACCAAGGAGAGAGCAGAGAAGAGAAAATTCCTTCTTGGTGTTACCAGAAGAAAGGTGGTGGGGCTGGTTAGGGAAGAGGGTGTTTATGGAAGAAGCAGAAGCTGTGTTGTGTTGTGGATAGGAATTAGGGTTTCTCTCATTTCTCTTCTCTTACTTTTTATTTTTGTATTTCTTAATAGAATTAAAAGTAACAAAACCAACCCCTAAAAATTCTGAAATTGTAATATTAATAATTTATTAAATTATAATATTGATTATATATTAATTAAAGAATACCTCGGTCCACATTAAGGAATGAAAAATAAATTAAAAAATAAAAACAGCACAGTAATTATAAGAAATACAAAATACAAAACTGTATGCCATTGAAGGCCAATTCTATACTTCACTGGACAACCACAGTTTATCAGCCATGCTCAGAAGAAAAAAGGCTCATGTCCATGATTGCCAAGCAAACTCAAAAACATTCTTTTCTCATTTAACAGAAGTAGCATGCACTCCACCACAAACACAATACACTTTTTACCAACTGCAAGGCAGCATTCTTCCCCCTCTTTCCTTTTGGAAAACAAAGAAACATAAACAAATAAATTAAAAATTAAAGGAAGGAAAAAACTGTTTCCCAAAAAGCCTCTCTAACAGGACTTTGCAGTCCTGAATTGCATAATTAGAAGGGAAAGCAGAAGCAACGTTTGAACTTATTAACTATGGCCCTCAGTCAGGAAGACTACTGGAAAATTCAAGGAATCACTCAGGTTAAGATGTCTTGTTTCTCACACTCGACGAATCGAGCGCGTCAGTGAGAGAGCATAACCAACATCGCAGGTGAATGTTTCACTCATGGTTCAGCTATTATGTACAACAGGAATTTAATAGTGAAAAACCTTAGACCTCATAAGAAAATAAATTGGACTATCTAGAGGATTGGTCGCATCAAGGCCAAATTCTGCGTAGCAAGAACCCGATCTGTGACCAACTCGTGCCACTTCTTGCTGTGCCTGCCAGTCAGAAGGAACTTTTGGGATTAGTGAAGAAAAACACTGAATAAAAGTGCGTACTCTTCCAACTCATCTAAGAATTTCACATGTACTTCAGAAAACAATGCACCTAGCAGAAACCAGCATTTGAAATCAAAAAACTTAGCATGAAAACATCTACTTCTAGGTGACAAACAAAAAATCTACTCACGAATATAATTAGAAAGAAGAGAAATATCAGACTATTTATGAATGCCTTGTACAACACTTGTTCAAGGTATGGTACTGCTCCTCGGTCATTCACAGGCAATTTTAGTGTCAAAGCTGCTAAGGCAAATGGCAAATGCCTGGAAAGCTGAGATGGGATACTGATAATCCATAGTGAATACATCTTTTCCCACTTTCCCAAATTGGAGAATGACATTCTCATGCTCCAGTCCAGCAGGTCCATTCTCTGGAGAAGCAACAAGCTGAAAATTCTTAACTGAAGCCACTGTTACTCGCCCGCTGAAGTTCAGACACCAGCACTGGAGTTGTTCATGCCACCTGGGTGACTTGTTTTTCAAAACCAGCATTCCATCTTTTTGTACAGGGAAAGGACAAGACTGAAAACCATCCCCCTGGTTGGATTTTGATCTGAAAAAACTGAGGGAGGGAAAAGTATCTAAACTGCTTTGCAGAAATTCAGTTTGTGTTGGAGCCACACCTCCGGGTTCAATAGCAGATGCAGGAATAGCATCCATTATGCACTGCATCCTCCTTGGACCCCTAGTCCCACAACAAATTGATCTCAGTAAGTACATTGGAAAACTAACAAATAAACCAAAAAAATCAACACTTCCTGGGGGAGAGAGAGAGAGAGAGAATTCATCCTCCCCATTCAAATCATTTCTATGATAAGAAATTCATCATTATGGAATCTGCTTACCTGGAACCCAGGACATTCAACTCGTATGAGATGTGGGCTGCAGGGTAATTTCCAGCAGGGGCCCTAGGGGAGACTTGTTTCATATTAACAAGCCTTGTAGACCGACTCTTGACAACTTTTGTTTCAGAATTTGGCGTCTGAGAATCATAGACTGTGAATTTGGTCCCTAGAAAGTTAGATCTGTCACAAAACAAAGAGAGATGTGACAATTGAGACCTGTAAACTAAATAGGAAAAAGAAATAAGATCACATCCAAATCGAACACACCTCAACTTTCCTATGTAGGTGCTGCTTCCTTTTGAAACATCATCACAATTTAGTGAGATGATGTAGTCTGTGCAAGTGGCACGTCTACATTTTCGTGCAGCAAGAAGGAATTTACCATCATCATTTGAAGCTGCCAGGGGATAAACAAGAGAGCAAAAGAGTTCAACATTAACAGCTAGTGAAGACATTTGTCAGAAACATCTTAGGGAAGAGGTAGCTAGCTTTTGGGATTCTCCTAAAAGAACAAAGAAGCTTTTAATGCTGTAGAAGCCAAAAGAACCATCCTGCCTAGCTTTGGCCAGAACCTAAGAGGTCATGCATGCAAATATGCTTCATACAGATGACTCAATTTGCAACAAATGAGACAATATCACCAAAAAATGGAGATACACATGGAAGTATAGAAGAATTCGGTTCCATACCTTGAGTTAAGCCAAGATAGAGGTAATACGTTTGGTTGCTACGGTTCCGTTTAATGTAGCACTGGAGGAGTGAACCTCTTGGACCAGGCTGCAAAATAATAACCATGAAACTAAAACATTAGTTAAAAATAAAAGGAATAAAATGTATAATCCTTCTACCATAAGCCATTTATGCAAACTAACATTACCCAAAAGGGAACATGTGATTTCATTAGTTTTTATCCATCTGCATACTCTGCACCACTCGAAAAAATAAATATTTTTAAGGAAAAACATTTGATAGCATTTGGAAGACTGGAAATAGTAAATTCCTGAAGTATTTTGAAAGGAAGCTTAAGTGTATGACTAGATACTTCTTCCAACCCTATGCATGTTCCATCTAGAACATCAGAGTATTCATTAATTTAATTATATGAACTCGGGTAAGCTAGAAGCAAGGATGGTCAGCTTGATCAAAACCTTGCAACTCTTATATTCAGTATAGCAACAACATATCAAGCCAGGCAATCTAGTTCAAATTTAATATCAATCATTTCAATATCACACTAGACCAAAGACTCTTTGAAAGGCTTGACTTAGAACATATCATGGACGTTAGGAATCAGCATTAGTAATAACAACATTGATCAGGTGATACAATATTTGACAAATTAGTTCCATCACCTTGAACCAAACTCCAAAGAAGAACAAGCTTACAGTGTTCCTAGTCCACCATTTGTTGCATCCCTCAATGATAAGATGCAGTATACATGGTAGACTCACTAACCGGGATTACTAATTCAACAAGATACTAAAATCGGTAAAGATTACAAGAAACCCCATTCCAATCATTAAAGCGATGCTACAAACAACGTATAAGAATATAGAATATGATATTCAATACCAAATAATTTGCAGAATTTCTTACTTTTTGTGAGGGATTAGATCGCTATAAAATGCAATCCAATATTGCATGCAATAATCAAACACGAAAAATGATGAAAGAAATAGACAAATACCATAAAGATGACAAACAAGCGATAATCCATGTGCAAAGCTATCAAATGCAATAACATCCAACACATATTGGGACAAAGGATGACGTGCTATACCTGCTTCAAAGAGATAGGGAAAGTCAATTTGCCTGAAATTTCAGGGGCTTTAACAAGCTCCTTCATTATTTCTCTCCAATTTCTGCAAACACCAGCACAAGCAACCACATTCTTCCTAGGAGGCCAACTGCCCTCAGATTCCTCGATCCTCATCAGCACATCCCTTAGAAGCTCCGGCGGCATGTTAGCCCAACAACTCTGCTTCAAGGCATCAACTGACACGGTACTATCCTGAACCACCCGGTGAGACCTCGATCGCATTCCATACCCAAATTTCACATCAAACCCTTTCCTAGATATGCTCCCAAGCTCATCTCTCATGTCCTGAATAATACTCCTGATCGACATTGATGCCAACCCAGTTCACAATTCCACCCAAACAACTCAATAAACCTATCTAGTAAATTCCACTTCCTCCAGATTCCCAGTCAACCCACATCCAATCACCCCCCAAAAGCTCAACTTCATATACAGAAAATCTAAACTGGGTAACCGCTACTTAACAAAATCCATTAGGTGAAAGATCCAAACTCCAGACTGAATCAGTAAATTTTTCCCAAAATAAATAATAAATCAACTGCCACTTTTCAGATCACGAGCACCTACTAAACCCACTACCATAAAAATTCAATAGAAAGTTAAAAAAACACCCAACGAACCCTCGTAAATTACAATTTAAACAAAACAAAACTCAAACAAACCCCATAGATCTCCCTTCTGTGACAATACCGAAAACATCGTCACGCGCTCATCATTTCCAATTAATAACGAAAATACTATCAGATCAACAATCAAACCTCGAGAAAAACAACACTTCACGGATAATCTCCTCAGGTTGATGACGAAACCAGACTCCGGGTCTGGACATTGAGACCCATACCGACGAAAGCAGAGATATTAGACCAGTACAGAGAAGAAAGAGAGACAGAGAGAGAGAGAGACCGCAGACAGGAAGTTAGGGTTGGCGTCTTGACAGACTACTGGCCTACGTGGTGAGTTTTATGGGTGTGTATGTGTGTGTGTGTGTCTCTCTCTCTCTCTCTCGCTCTGCGTGCTGGGTCAGCCATTGGAGCAGGCAATGTACTAAAATGGCTCCCACGTAGCCTTATCCAAAAAGTAAAATCCGGGTTTTCAGTTTCTTGTTTTAAACAATTAAATTAAATTGTCTTCTAAATAAATTGATTCGGTCAATTACTTCTATTTATCCGCAAATATTAATTTTATGCATATTTAATATATATATATATATTAATATTTTAAACATTAAATATAAATACATTGTATGCTTTAATTAAATTTAAATTTAAATTTAAATTCTATAATTTGTCTTTAATGGTATAATTCTACCATTTTGTTTTTCTAATTTTAGATAAAATAATTAATTTTTTTACAATATATTTCTGAATTCCAAAATCTTAATATATATATATATAATTTGAATTTAAATTAAACCAACATATGGAAAATAAAATTTATTTATATATATATATATATTTAATATAAATTTTGTATTTTATTTTTATTTTTAAATATATATTTAATTTTTTTTTTTTTAATGATTTTCTCACTTTAGCTTTTATGTTTGGATGTCTTTAAACACCTTTAGGTTTACTTTTTTCTTCTTCTTTTGACTTTTGATTGTCAAAAATCCGAATATGAAGGCTTTT